CGTTAATAGTCTTTTATCTAAAATATCTAAATTAATAAGGTTAACTGTGATTTCATGTTTTAATTCTGATTCACTAATATTTGTTTATTTGATGGTATATATATACAAATTATAATATTATTTTTGTTTGGTTAATTTCTATCTGTAGTATAACCATTCTTATTTCATTTTTGCTTATTGTTCTTTAGTTTAGTATTATATTATAATGGAAACAAAGTTTAGATTTTATTACACTTGAAAGTAAATCTTTTTTACTTTTTTTGAATTCTTTTAATTTCATATAACATCCTTATGACTTTCATTTAATAATGAATAGGTATCATTTACTTTAGAGAGAAATCATCTAGTCCAGTACCTTTTAATTGTAGAAAATTTGAGTCTAATGACTATCAAAAATTTTTCTGATAATATTTATTAGTGATTGTTCAAATTATTCTACGAATTTTGGCTAAATCTCTTGTTTTCAACGACCATTACAAAAATCTTTCTTGGCACTTTATAAGTTAAAGAATCATTCACCTATTTTTTCTCTTTCAAATTTTAAAACTTTCAATCCATCTTTTCCAATTAGTGAATGTTAAACTATTCTATTAATTTCGATATATTGATTCAAATGAGCTTTTAATTTTAATTTTATTTTTTATTCTATAAATAATTATAAAGTTTTTGATTAATTTGAATATATATATTGATTTATTTTAATAGAAATAGATAAAATAAAAATATCATAATAATGAATAGTCAATAGATTGTTGAGTAATTTGAAAATAAAGTTTAAGAATGTCTTTAAGGAGTTTAATAATAATTAGATGTAAGTTATTATAGATAATGATTAGACCTCTTTCAAGAGAATTGATGATTTTCTTGATTAACTTGTTGTTGTTCCTTATCCAGCTATTCCTCACAACACTGTTAAATTTGTACCACCAATTACTTAAATATCTTTACCATCAATACAAACATTAACTAATTAATTAATTCATGAAGTCAAACCTATAATCAATTTAATTATTCATAAACAAATTAAAAACAATCAAACTTAACATCAATAATAACAAATACAAAAATAGAATATATAATAACATTAATTAAATATAAACCCATTCACTTATAATTTATTATAGAATAATTCAATTAAATAG